AGCCTGGGCTACATAGTGAGTTCAAGGCCAGCCTGAACTACATAGCGAGACCCTGCGCTTGCCTAAGACCCTACCAAATACATTAATAATAATAATAATAATAATAATAAAATCTATAGCAGATCAACAAAACACCCCAAAATAATAAAAGGGCTGGGGATGAAGCTTAGTGCATGTCCTGGGTGCAGTCCTTTGTTGCGTGCACAAGCACACACACACATAACTAGTGATAATCTTGTGCCTGGCAAGTCTCAAAACGACCCGTCTTGGGTCGTTCTTGGTATCCTAAACGAAGCCTTTTCCAAGCAATGTCGCAGAAGCTGCTCAGCGTTGAGGCTGAAGCACGCGATCCCGGGGCGGGGCCCTGCATTTGACTCCGCCCACCCAAGATCCGTCTCCGCCCCGCCCACTTTCAGCCCCGCCCATCCCGCCCTCCCTGCTGGGGCCCGGCCTGCCCTCGCTGCAGCCTGTGTTTCCGGGCGGCCTCCTGAGGGCGGTGCACAAGATGGCAGTGCGCCGAAGGCGGCGGAGCCTGAGCCTTGAGTTCTAGCGCGGGGCTGGGGCTGGAGACGGTGTTCGCTCACCCACTCACTCACCCAGGTGACTTGGGCTGTCGGGGCTGCTCCGCCGGGCCCCTGGAGGTGTGAGGCCCGCTTGGTGCTGTTCGGGTCCCCACTGCCTCCCTAGCCCTGCCCCAGGCTGGAACCTAAGAAAGGTCGGGCGGCTGCCCCGCCTATCCTTGCCTCGGGGCGGTCTCTGTGAGTGACTCACTCTGAAAATTGACTTTTACCACGTGCGGGTTCCATGGCTGCTTTGCAGGCGTCCGGAGAGAGGATTAACATCCAGGCGGGAGAGACAGCCAAGGTCGGTGACAGGGATTCGCTGGGGAATGACAGGCCCGAGCCGGACAGGCCTCCCCAGCGCTCCCGCCGGCAGCAGTGCGCTTCCTACGTGCTGGCCCTGAGGCCCTGGAGCTTCAGCGCCTCGCTCACCCCGGTAGCCCTGGGCAGCGCCTTGGCGTACAGATACCACGGCGTCCTGGATCCTAGGTTGTTAGTGGGTTGTGCCGTCGCTGTCCTGTCTGTGCATGGGGCCGGCAATTTGGTCAACACGTACTATGACTTTTCCAAAGGCATTGACCACAAGAAAAGTGATGACAGGACGCTAGTGGACAGAATCTTGGAGCCCAAGGACGTCGTTCGGTTCGGAGTCTTCCTTTACACCTTGGGCTGCATTTGTGCTGCTTGCCTGTTCTACTTGTCCCCTCTGAAACTGGAGCATTTGGCTCTCATCTACTTTGGAGGACTGTCTGGCTCTTTTCTTTACACAGGAGGTAAGAATTGGCCTGTTTTTGTTTGCTGAGGGCCTCTGCTGCATATTCAGGAAACTGCTACTTTGCTCAAGAATTGTAACAATGTCCAAGCATTTTTCTTAAGTTGGGCCACTTCATCTGAAATCTGTGTTGTATAGGTAATGGATATTCTTTTTTTTTTTTTTTTTTTTTTTTTGGTGGAACCGGGGATTGAACTCAGACCCTTGGGCTTGCCACGGGCCTATTCTACTGAGCCATCTCCCTGGCCCATAATGGATGTTCTGAAAACAGTAAGTTGGGAATATACTGGCTTGGTTATCCATGTTGGATATGGCTCAAATACATGTAGGGGCATTTTTAAAAATCTAGTATTCTTTTCTTGACCATACTTTCTTTTTATGTATTTGGCACAAGGTCTTGCTACGAAGCTCAGACTCGTAGTGATCCTCCTGTTTCAGCCTCCCCAGTGCTGGGACCACCAACCCTCTCTGTGGCCAGCTCAGTGCACTCAGGGGTGGGGCGGGTGCAGCATGTGGTGCAGAGGATTGAATCCTGGTCCCTGCACTTGCCTAAGCAGATGCTTAGTCTATGGAACTATCTCGTCAGCCCTTCTTTTTTTTGGCAGAACTCAGGCCCTTGCGTTTGCCAGGCAAATGCTTATTCTACTGAGCTATCTCCCTGGCCCCCATCGTCAGCCCTTCTTGACCATACTTCTAATATCATAGCTTCAGATTTTAGTGGAGTGAAATCTGAAGAGCTCAAAATTGTATAGCTATTAACTTTTTTTCCTTTGAGGAGGGGTCTTGAAGTTCAGGCTGGTTTTGAGCTCCCTATGTAGCCTGGCCCAACCTCAAACTCACTTCAGACCTCTTGTGTTGGCCTCCTAAGTGCTGGGATCACTGGTGTGTGCTACCATGCTCTGCGAGGTAACTATTAATTTTCAGCTAGTTTGCTAGGGGACATCATGTAGCAGCTGATTAAGGTGATGGGCAAGGTTTAAGCCCCAGTTACTGAGTACTTGTTACATTCAAGGCATGCTTCTATGTGTACACAAACACAGACCTTGCCCTAGGCCTATAATCCCAGCACTTGGGAGACTGAGGAAGGATTATAAATCCAAGGCCAGATTGAACAACACAGCAAAATTGTCACAGAAAGTAAACTGTGGGCCAGAGATGCAGCTCAGGGGCACAAGAGCCTGCCTGGCAAGTGCAAGGTCCTGAGTTTGATTCCTAGTACAAAAATAGGGGCTGGGGATTTGACTCAGTGGTAGAGTGCCTGCCTAGCAAGCAGGAAACCCTGGGTTCGATCTTTGGTACCAAAAAAAAAGAAAACCCTCCAGTTGTACAAAAAACACTATCAAGGGCCTGGGGAATAGCTCAGTAGAATAAGCACTTACCTAGCAAGCTCAGGGTCCTGAATTCAATCCCTAGTAGAGTAGCCTGGACCATACATTTAGGGACTGGAGAGATAGCTCAGTAGAATAAGTGCTTGCCTTGTAAGCGCAAGGGCTTGAGTTCAATCCCCAGTTCTGAAAAAAAAAAAAAAAAATCAAAAAATCAAATAAAATGGCAAAAAGTATAGTGTAGTAAATACGTAAACCACTAACATAGTCTTATTTTACTGGTTTACTGATTTATAGAACCATCATATACTTGGTCCATCACTGACTAAAGGTCCTTTATGTAGTATATAACTATATTTAAGAATGAGGACTGTAATGAGAAAATGTAGAGCAGAGAAGGGGGATGCAGATTACTATTTGTGAGTAGTTTAGTCAGTGTGAGCCTCATCGAAATGATGAGTTGGATTGGTGAGTAACATTTTGAGTTGGATTGAAGGAGGTAAGAGATGATGGAGAAAGAGAATTCCAGGCAAAAGGAAGAACAATGGCCCAGTGCCTGGGAGCAGTATGGGCCTCAAGAATGGGAGGAATACTCAGCACAGAGGAGGCTGAGGCAGGAAGATTGCTGCAGATTTGTGGCCAGCCTGGGGTTCAAAGTGAATTCAAGGCCAGTCTGAACTTTGGAGTGAAACCCTGTATCAAAAAAAAAAAAAAAAAAAAAAAAAAAAAAGTGAGGAACAGTAAAATGTGTGAGTGGGGAAGATAGTAAAGGGAACTACAGTGAGAAAATGGGTTCGGGGAGAAGACAGAGCCTACAGACAGAGTAGGCCTTGTAGGTCCTGGACTTTACTCTGAAAAGGAAGAAAGGTGGGATGTGACTTTATGTTCTAAACAAATCACTGGTTGAGGTTTGAAAATGGCTAAAGGACAGAGGGTAAGGATGGGAGCAAGACAGCCGAGTCAGAGGCACTTAGTAATCCAGGAAAGGTGGTGGTGTGGATCGGGATGATGGTAGTGGGAGAGCTAAGGTGTCAGCCTCTGAGTGCATTTGAAGGTCGACGGGGTTTGTGATGGGTTGCATATGAGACAGAAAAGCAGGAGGTAAGCATAACCAAAAGTTTGGGTCTGAACAACTGGAAGAAGACAGGTGATGTCATCATGTGTGTTATGGTTTGTATCTAGGTGTGCCCCAAAAGCCTCATGTAGTCACAGGACAGGCTGCTACAGTTTGTGATTAATTCACGATCCAGTGCTGGGATTATGGGTATGAGTGCTATGCCCAGCCTGGGGCAGACAGCCTGAGTGAACTTTAAGGAGAGAGGCTTGCTCTCCCCCGCTGCTCTCTTGCTGCTGGTCTGCTGCCCCTCCCTTTTTGCTCTTCCTGTTATGAACTGCTGTCCTGTGCCATGTGCCACTCTACCTTGGAGCCAGCTGATTATGGACTGAAACCTCCACAAACTGAGCTGAATAAACCTGTCCTTCCTAAATTTTGTCCCAGCAATGAGAGAAAAGTAACTGTGACAATGTGAGATGGAGAAAGCTGAGGCTAGAATAGGTATTGGTGGAAACTCGAAAGAGATTGATTTTGGACTTCTTAGTGTCTGTTAAAGCTCCAAGCAGAGGTGTCTGATGGTTAGTTGGATATATACAGAAGCTGAGTTCAGGAAAGAGGTCTGAGCTAGCGATATGGGCATTTGGGAACCATTGGCATACAGATAAAGTTATAAAAAAACAAGATTCTTAGAGGAGGGAATGTTGGTGGAAAAGTGAGGAGGACCAGGACTGAGCCCTGTGCCCTCCAGCTTGAAAGGTGGTAGAGATGAGGCGGACCAGGTAAAGAGGGCCAAGAATAGGGGCGGGGAAATAGCTCAGTAGAATAAGCGCTTGCCTAGCAAGTGCAAGGGCATGAGTTCAATCCCTGGTTCTAAAAAAAAAAAAAAAAAAAAATTCATGGCAGTAGGAGAAAAATCCAGAAACCATGACGTTCTGGCAGCCAACCGTAAAGTTGGGACAGTTTGAAAGTTCAGTGACTGAGCATGGTAGTTTACACCTCTAATCCCATAGCCTCTAATCCCACACTCAGGAAGCTGAGGCAAGATGATTACCATGAGTTCAAGGCCAGCTACATAATGAATTCAAGGCCATCCTGAACTACATAGTGAGACCCTGTTTTAAACAACAACAACAACAAAAAGTTTTTTAAGTAAAGGAAATCAATAGATTAATAGTGTGCTAAAATAGAAAATATAAGGTAGTGGTGGTGGTGAAGAAGCCATCCGTGTTAGCTTTCTGTAACTGTAACAAAATACCTGAGAGAATAAACTTAAAAGAAAGGTTTATTTTGGCTTACCGTTTTGGAGGCTTCATTACATATCCATGGTTGATTGGCTTGTGGTTGTTTGCCTTTGGTAAGACAGTAATCATGGTGGGAGTGCATGGCAGAGAAAATCTATTTACTTCAGGGCTAGGAATGAAAGAGAGTAAGAGGAAAGGGTTTTAAGGACATGCCCCCAGTGACTGGAAGACTTCCTGCTGAGTCCCACTTGTTGAAGGTCCTCTATCTTCTAGTGGTGCCATGAGCTGGCAGCCAGGCCTCTCACAGGTCAGCCTTTGGGGCTCTTACCCCTGACTAGAGCACCCTCTCTGTGTAGGTAACTTTTGAACTCTGACTTGAAGGATGGAGAACCTGTTACAGGGTAGAATTGGGATCTTAACTGTGGCACTGAGTCCTGCGGGCTGAAGGGCCAGCCACTGCAGATGTCCTGGGTGTGAGAGAGTTTGGCATTGTCTAATACAAAAGGCCAGTAGGCCCAAGGGAGCGTGGGCTACAGAACAAGAGGTGGGCAGGGGCTAGATCGTTCTGATCAGCGGAGTCTTCTGCTGGCTCCTACCCACTCCTCAGCCAGCAGGGCCATCGTGGATTTCTTTTCTCTATCCCCTGCCCATCCTTTTGGTGGCTTTACTCAGCTTCGTGGCTTCAGATGCCATCTATTAAGTTGGCAACCCTCACACTCCAAACCTGTCCAACTTCTATTTTAGGGGGAGGATGCTGGAGTTGGAACCTGAGGCCTGCGCACGTGGAGCATGTGCTCCACCATGGAGCCTTATCCTTACCCCGCCCTTACCCACCTTCTTACTCTGTAACTTCTAGAGGTTTCACAGGTATCTCATGCTCAACACGACTGAAATCAAATTCCTGATGTTCTGCCCCCCCCCCAGCCCTGCTTGTAGCTTTCCCTGTTTTTTCAGTGATGGTGGTGGTGGTGGTTGTGTTCACTGTGCTGGGCTCAGACTCGAGCCTTGAGCCTGCTCAGTGAACACCCTAGCATGGAGCCCCATTGACAGCCTGCTCAGTGGCAGCTTCATCCTTCTAGGTCTTCAGACCTGAAGTCACGGGCATCCTCCTGGGCTCTTCTCACATCTCCTTCAGCTCATCAGCAAATCCTGTTTTCATTCAGAATACCATCGGGGTCTCCTGACTGCTTCTGCCTAGAGCACTCTTCCACTATCTGGCTGTATGGTTCACTCTGTAGCTTCCTTCACCCTTTGCTCAAATGTCACCTGCTTAGTGAGACCTTGCTTCCTATCTTACTTAAAATTCACACCCTCCTCATGTGTCCCTCCACCTCAGGTACCCTCCCCATTCCTCTTCTCTGTTTATTGCCTGCACAGCACATACTGCCCTCTACTGCACTTTTACAATATAAAATAACATATTTGGGCAGTTACTTGCTGCAAGGCTGTGAGCTCCCTCTGATCGGGGTTATCTCTCTCACTGTTCTCCGCGGAGCCCATAGTGCCCAGTGCAGTGCCTGCTAGTTGGTGCTTATAGTCATCGAATGAACAAACAAGAAGACACTGTAAATGTTAAGCAGGGCACGGATGTGGTCAGATTTAGCTCTCCCATGGATTCGTGTTGCCTCACCTAGAACATTGTACAGATGGAACTGTTTGCTGTGTGTCATATTTATTTCACTGTGAACACTTACATCTGGCTTCTTTTGCTCAGCATGAGGTTTTCAAAATGCATCAAGTTGTTCTGTGTGTCAGTAACTCCTTTTTACTGCTGAGTAGCACTCCTTTGATGAATATGCCGCATTTTATTCTCCCATTTGTGGACCTGTGCATATTTTCGCTTTCTCTTGGGTAAACACCTAGAAATGGAACTGTCAGGGCACAGGATAGGTGATATTTCATTTTGTGAGAAACTGCCAGGCCATTTTTGGAAGTGGTTATGCTATTTCACATTCCCACCAGCAATATATGAGCGTTCCAGTGGCTCCGCATCCTTGCCAATGTTCTGATTTATGTTTTCACAGATTAATTCTGGCTTCTGTGTGGATGAGAGGCTCAGTATTGTGCTGTGTTGCTTCATTCAGAAAATGGTATTGAGGGGTTGGTATGTCTGGAAAATTCCTGTGTGGAATGGGGGGAATTGTGTGTGTGTGTGTGTGTGTGTGTGTATTTCTTTTTTTTTAATGTTTTGACACTAGGGATTGATCTCCATGCTTTCAAACTGATCTACATCCCTGACCCTTTTTTTTTTTTTTTTCATATTGTTAAGGCAAGGTCAAGGTACATTGTCCTGGTTGGGCTTTAACTTGCAGTCCTTCTGCCTCAGCTTCCCAAAATGCTAGGATTACAGCACCAAAAGAATGATAGAGCCTTTGGGGAGAGAGCTGTGCACCACCATGCCCTGTCGAGCTGCATTTGTTTTGTTCTAAAACAGCGTCTTACTGTGTAGTTCAGACTGGCTTGAAGTTGCTATGAAGCCCAGCTAACCGTGGACTCAGGATGATCTTTCTGCCTCAGCCTCCTGAGTGTAGGCTAGGTTGCATTTCTTTCTTTCTTTTTTTTTTTTTTGAGGAACTGGGGATTGAACTCAGGCCTTGTGCTTGCCAGGTAAGCGCCTGTTCTACTGAGCCATCTCCCAGCCCCTAGGCTGCATTTCTAAATCACTTAAGCAACACTTCTTTTCCCAAGGCCTGCTATTTTTTGTGTGCCAGATAATCTCAAGAAGATTATCAGACCTTTTTTTTCCATGAGTGGATTTATGCTTGTTTTCTGCACAGGACCTATTGAAGGTGGCGACCTGCAGCTCTGCTCCACTTCACTGAAGCCAGATTTTGTGGTGCTATGAAGAGGGCTTCTTGGAGAATGCAGCAAAGGTCAAGGCTGTCTTGCTGTGTTTTCTTCTAAGCCAGAGCTCTGAGGTTGGCTTGGGGAGTAAGGAAATAAGCGAAAGAAGGGCAGCAGCTGGTGGGGAGCTTGCCAGCGCTGGCTGGGTGTGTTCTGACTGGAATCTTCACTGGACAGGGAGTCCCCCTGTGGGGTTATAGGTGTGTGTCACCACGTCTGATTTCCATGGCAGCACGCCTGTGGTTCCGGAGCCAGCATGGCATGCAGTGCCAGGGATCAAACCTAGGTCCTTGTGCTTGCCAGGCAGGCAGTTAGACCGCTGAGCTATCTCCCCAGCCCATGGGGGATGCTTCTTTTTAAGGAAGCCAGGGCGGTCATTTTGCACCAATGTACCCAGCTGCCACTGTGAAGGAAACCCAGCCTATCTTGGTCCTCAGCTCTACAGACCATTGTCACTTGCCATTTTAGAGTGGTTAGGATGCACTTGGTCACCTGAGAGTTTTCTTTGTTTTTAGACCCTAAGGCACCTTGGTTAGACACCTGCCCTGTGGGCATCTCACCCATCCCATCTGGAACCCAGTTTGGGGGCAGATTGCCATCTTTTAGGCATTTGGTGACCCTGACTTAGATTTGGGAACAGAGTGAGGTGGATGGAGTGGCTTTGGGGAAGGAGGGGAGTGGGCACGTTTGAAAGATGTGGGGTAGACAGGGTTTGAAGTAGGGCAGTGGCAGGAGCCATAGTCAGGGCTGGTTTCATTTTAACTTAATGGGAACTAGAGAGGGGAAGGTGCATGATAAATTGCAGCCCAGCTATTTTGCTCATGTGGGTAAAAATTTCTTTATGTGGGAGTTCAGGGACCTTGAACTGTCCCTGTGATTCACTGGGGTTTTTCATAAACAGATGCCTCCAGAGAGTGTAGGTGAAAGGGCCAGAAGAGGGTTGGGTGGACATTCTGTGGGAGTGGGGTGGAGGGTGGGTGGACACTGCTCAGGGGTGGGGTAGTGGTGGATCTCATGCTTGCAGGGTTGGAGAAAGGTCAAGAAGCTTAAGAACTGGGTTGCAAGAAACTTTTATTCCTTTTGACTTCTTCCAGTGGGGCTTTGCTTTGGGGTCCGGGTAGGCAGGCACAGGTGAGTATGAACCCGAGCAGGTAGACCCTGAGACCTAACTGGATTTCTGTCAGTCCTAACTGGATTTCTGTCATTGGAAGTGAAGTCAGAGTGCTCTGGGGGACCAGAAGGACGCCCAGCCCCCTGCATCCTGCTCTGGCCAGAGGTAGCCTGTCTTGCGGATGAGCAGCCCCTGCCTTTCCAGCCCTGGATCTCACACTCCTCTCTGGATTTTTTGGCTGCAGGAATTGGATTCAAGTATGTGGCCCTGGGAGACCTCGTCATCCTCATCACTTTCGGCCCTCTGGCCGTGATGTTCGCCTACGCTGTCCAGGTGGGGTCGCTGGCGATCTTCCCTCTGGTCTATGCCATCCCCCTGGCTCTCAGTACTGAGGCCATCCTCCATTCCAACAACACCAGGGACATAGAGTCCGACCGGGAGGCCGGCATCGTCACGCTGGCCATCCTCATCGGCCCCACCTTCTCCTATGTGCTCTACAACACGCTGCTCTTCCTGCCCTACCTGATCTTCAGCATCCTGGCCACGCACTGCAGCATCAGCCTGGCGCTGCCTCTGCTCACCATCCCCATGGCCTTCTCCCTCGAGAGGCAATTCCGCAGCCAGGCCTTCAACAAGTTGCCCCAGAGGACGGCCAAGCTTAACCTCCTGCTGGGGCTTTTCTATGTCTTTGGCATCATCCTGGCCCCGGCGGGCAGTCTGCCCAAACTCTGAGGGCACCGGCAGCCCCTGCATAAAAGCACTCTCCACCCCCTAGATTGTACTGAACCCAGAGTTCCCAATGAGGGACTGTGGCTTGGCAGGGTGAGTCATACGTATGGGTGTGAATCCTGCCTTTTTATATTATTATTATGTTCTTAAAGATAATCTGCTTTGCTTTTGTTTTCCCGCATCATGGAGAATCTTGAAACTACTCTGCAACCAGAAGTGATTGGGCTCATGGACCTTGTTTTATTTATAATTTCCACTAGAGGGTGTTGTCAGGTCACTTCAAAGTTGAGTGGACTGGATTCCTGCTTGCTTCAAGCAGAATGGTGAAAAGTGTCGAGCAGGAGCTTCCGGGTTGGCCTCCTGTCCTGACGGAGCCATATTAGCAAAGTGCAGTGTCATCCTGATAGCTTGGCAAAAGTAGTAATTGGTTCTAGACCCCATTAACATGGGCAGCGCCTGTCTCTTACTCAGCACTGGTGTCCCGAAATATGCTGCTGGAGAGAGAAAGTCCCTCATTAACAGCCTTGGGCAGCTCTAGGGTTTCTGCCTAAACTGCGATGCAGACACATTTGTCCTTTATCTCTTTCACTGCTGGCATAGTTGAGTGTCAGATTGCCCTGCAGCAAGATGGGGCTGGGAGGAAGAAACCCCACCCTGGAGGCAGCTGAGGCGACCACTTGCTTTTGGGAGAAATTAGCAGAGTAGCTTTTTCCATGTGAGGACTCTACCAGGATGATGGGAAGGATTCCCAGCCCTTTCAGTAACTGTCAGGAGCCTCATAACTGCAGAGGCACTGCCCTCCTCGCAGGGTACTGACAGTCCGCAGGGCGCTTTCCTCCCAGTCCTTCTCCTAATGCTCCCCTGTCTACCCCGTACCTGTGTCCCTCTGCTTTGTTCCCATGTGTGTTTTCTGTTGTGGAGCTAGCTCCTGGGGCAGGGACAATGCCACTTTCCACAGAGCCACGGAGTGGGCAATGCAGAAACCCGGGGAACGTACAAGCCAGCAGACCACAACCCTGCCAGTGGAGGAACTGGCTTCGTCCTTGGAGATGGACATGCAATACAGGCTGTGCCCCTCTAGGCTGTGACCTTGTGCAGACAACTGAGGGCTTCGGTGAGGTCGCACCCGGAGGGGCTGCAGCTTCGAGCATACTGCTTTTTATTGGAACTTCTGGGCTCCGATGGCTCAGGTGCTTTTGGTCCAAGACTGAAATAGATGGAGATGGTCAGATGGTCAGACAGTCATCCGTGTACTTTTCTGTTGCAGTTGGCCATTCTGGTGGCCTCGGCAGGCAGTCTGCCCAAACTCTGAGGGCACTAGCAGCTCCCTGCATAACAGCACTCCCCACCCCCCAGATTGTACTGAACCTGGAGTGATCCAGGCCTTGGCGTCCAGAACATGACATAAAAACTCATTGTTAAGCCTTTAGGTAACCAGGCTGCTTACGATGTGGCTCCTTGAGCTAGAGTTGGTCAGCCTAACCTGAGAGCAGCGTATTTGGAAATTGCAAAAATTCCTCTAAATTGGGGTGATTTGTCTACCGTACAGTGAGGCCCCTGGAGCAGTGCGCAGAGGCCTGAGGCCAAGGAAGGAAGGCCAAGCCTCCTCTCCTGCCCTTCTGGCACCATTTTTATTTCCTGCCAGGCTAGAGTCACTTTGGTGCTCATGGGGGTCCGGGCTCAGTGAAGCTTCTCTGGCCTCTGCTGCAAGCTGGCCGCTGTCCCACGGGGCTCACCCAGAGGCTGGGGGAGCAGGGCCTCCTAGTGTGCACTGATCAGGCCCACCTGGAGGCTGCTGCCACCATAATCAGCTGCTGTACGGGGCTCCTGTGCAGATTTTAATGCATATTTTTTTATATCTAAATGATTCCAAAAGGCTGTATTTGATGCCAGATTTTATATGCAGGCCACCATGATTTATATTATGTCCCCTGATTTCATGAAGATTTTCTCTATACTTGTTAATTAAAAAAAATGTCATCAGTGGTCTGGTTTCCAGTTCTTTGCTTTCCTCATGTTATTGTCAGATTGTGAGCTCTGATGCATAAATCTTCAGACCACCAGGGCAAGGACACTGGGACATGTTGGGTGGGCACAAGGCACATGATCTTTGATGATGAACTTGGATAGGGTTTGGGGGATTTGAGAGGCTCTCCGAAGAAAGCAGGGACCACTTAGAGCCCAGCCGTGTCAGGCTGCATTGACCTCCTTTTTCCTTCTTTCTCCTTTCATTTTTTTCCCTCTAGGGTCACTGTGTTGATAGATTGAGAACCAGAGCAGATTGAGTACATCTGAGTTTCAGCTAGGCATTTGACAATATGTCCTTCCGAACAAGGCAGATAGGCGGCACGGTTAGCAGTGGAGTTAGATAAATCCCTGGGAGATGGATGAGCTGTGGGAGAGTGATGACCAGTGTGTCAGCTCGCCCGGGAAGGAAGCCTCGGGCAGCATACACGGGCCCTGCCCTCTGCCCTTGGCAAAGGAAGTGAGATTCTTGACACCTGTTATTAAGGCTGGGAATGAGGCAGCCCAAATTGCAGGCTTCATGAACCTTGGAGGAAGAGCTTATAAAATGACTGGCAATTAGGGTGCTCATAAATCAGAAGGCTGCTTTGCTGGGTCAGAGAGAAAAATGAGTATGAATAAAACCAGAAGAATATACTTGGGTCCCCAAAATAGTGTGTGTTGGGAGGCGAGCTACTGATGGTATCACAGCTCACCTCTGTCTCTGAAGTAGTTTTTTATTTTTATTTTTATTTTGGCTGGCTCAGGATACCTTCAGGGCAGGTCTGGTAAGGCTTGAGGATCTGGGGATCCAACCACAGCATCCTGATTGCTTTGTTTAAGCAGTCACTTAAATAACTGAGCTAATGGGCACCCCTCCCCCCAAGATCTTTTGCTGTTGTGCTTCTTTTTGGGGGGTCACTAGAGATTAAATTCTTGGTCTTCCTCCTGGTTCTCTAGGATCACCTAGACCTGGGCTTCTGGGGCCAAGCCCAGGAATTTTGGCTTGGCTCTTGCTCCTTGAGTTCGTCACCTGGAATCCACCCTTGCCTCTGACACTGCTGCCCTTGAAGGGTTCAGAATACCCCTTCTTGCTGACGAGTGCCGAGTGCCTGCAGGGCATCTGCTCCTGCCACCCCATTCTTTTTGCAGTCAGTCCTGGGGAACTGCTCTTTGCTCTGTGCTCTCCCCCACCCACCTCTCCTACTTAAAGCGTTACCTTTCTTCTCTACCCTTTGCCGAATCTTTGCACAAAATCCTGCCCAGAGGACACTGGAAGCTCACTGCTGGCCTCTGCCACAGCCTTGAGAGGAAAGAAGCCATGAATACATCATACTAAATTTTCATCTTACTAACTTTTCAGTTACTCCTGTGCTAACACCAAAGCCTGTGTCTCCACCCGGTCTGCAGCTCAGTTGGCAGCCAGTATGACCTTATGAAGGTTAACGTGATCTGAGGCAAATAGGAGATCTGTGTCCAGAACAAGGAAGGCAAAGCCCTACTCATCCCTGCACCAGGATGGGAGAGGGCTGGTCTTGGGCACTTGCTTTCTGTTTTTCCTTTTTCTAAATAAAATCAATATGGTGGTTGAACAAGAACACACCATAGATGGGATATAATTAGACTTCAGGAAGGCACTTGACAATATGAAGCCAGGGAGACAGCGCAGTAGCAAGTGCCTGCCTGGGAAGCGCAAGGTCCCAAGTTCGATCTCTGGTACAAAAAAAAAAAAAAAAAAAAAATATATATATTAGAACAATGTAATGAAATGTAAAATGGGTGAAAATACAATTAAAGGAGATTTATTTCTATGCATGTGTGTGTATGTGTATATGCACATATATATGTTGCACTGGTAACAGCTGTGGCAGAGAATTCACATTTCTCAGTATGGGAACCACATTTCGAAGATGTTATTAACAAACTGGATCTTGTCCAGAAAGCAGTTGGCAGACTGGCTAGGGCACATTAACCCACGTCTGCATGGAAAGGAGACACACAAAAGAGCGATCCTAGGTAGAAAAGGAGTGGGTTCTGCGCACGCACTTGTGTGTGTGGTGTGTGTGTGTGTGTGTGTGTGTGTGAGAGAGAGAGAGAGACAGAGAGAGACAGGGACTTCAAAGATAAAAGTAGGAGCTTCTGCCACAGCAACCATTGAAGAAGAGCAGCCATGGCCCTCCGCTATGCCATGGCTGTGGGCCTCAACAAGGGCCACAAGGTGACTAAGAATGTGAGCAAACTGAGGCACAGCCGCCGTCACAGACATCTCACCAAATGCACCAAGTTTGTGCGGGGCATGATCTGGGAGGTGTGCGGCTTCGCCCCCTACGAGCGGCGCGCCATGGAGCTGCTCAAGGTCTCCAAGGACAAGCGCGCCCTCAAGTTCATCAAGAAAAGGATGGGGACGCACATCCACACCAAGATGAAGCGTGAGGAGCCGAGCAACGTGCTGGCCGCCATGAGGAAGGCAGCTGCCAAGAAGGACTGAGCCCCTCCGGAATACAGTTTTGCAGAAAGTTAAAAAAAAAAAAAGAATAAAAGTAGGAGCAATAGCTAGAAGTTCTGTGGACCCAAGTTTAAGCTCCTAAGTGAGAAAGAACTTTCAAAACATCCCAGTGGGTGATGAGTTCCTAGTAACCTGAGGCGTTCAAGCGAAAGGATGGTTTCTTGTCAGGGGCACTGAAGCAAAGAGTCACATTAGAAAGGAGTTGGATGAAAGACCTTTAAGGGGATTCCAGTGCTTGGTACAGTTGTTCTGTTTGTTCTCAGACCTGCCCTTAGGGGACAGGAGGACACAGTACCAGAAGCTCTTCGACATTTCTTCCCCTTAGTTTCAGATTTCAACAGGCATAGCTGCCACTGATACTCCTTTCTTGGTTTTTAAAAATATATATATACATACACAAACATGTGTGCATATAGAGGTGATTTCACCCTCGAAAGCCCTTGAAGTGAGGTGGATGACAGCTCCTTCCCCAGGCCCTTGGACTGCTCTGCTGCTAATGGACTGTCAGCCTCTTTCATTACTGGCTTCAAACTGCAGGCTGGTGTAAAAGTAGTGCCTCTGGCAAGAACCGGCACTTGGGCCTCAGCTAGTTGACATTTGTTATTTGCCCTTCTTCAAATTGGGACAGCCCTCCCGTGGAGAGCCGCTAAGCTAGGACTCCAAATGGTAATGTAAACTCAGCCAGGTCCCTGCCTAAGGCTGTGACCAGGGCTGAGCCTGGGCTCATCAGGAGGCTCACAGACTGAGGGAATAACATGAGAGCTCTGGTTGGGGACAGTGAGGGTCTTGGTCACATGCTCCCCATCAGGCTTGGGTATGGGAGCTAGCAGGAAGCTAGCTTGGGCCTGGCTTGATGAATTTTTATGGGGTGTAGTTCAAGGGGGTGTCCAGAAGTCCATGACTGCTTGAGTCCCCTGCTGCTTGCATCTCTTCCTCAGGAGGACTCCGAATTGCCCCCCATTAGGGCCACCAGTGAGTTTAACAGGAAAGGGAGTGGCGCAGCACAGTGTGTGTTATGCCAGAGGACAGCAGTAGCGAACACACTGCAGTCACCATCCAAATCTCAGCGCTAGTGCTGTCTTTGGTGCGACTGAGCAGGCCCTCAGTTACTGTCATTGATGTGGTTGCCTGGGAGTGGCTGGGACTCTGGGGGTCATAACAGATGTGGAGTGTGGCTACCACATCGTGTAGCTGTGGCTCTGAGCAGGCAGGGTGAGTGCTTCCATCTGGGGCATCTTAAGCTCTTCTAAGGTCCAGTTTCCATTTCTGTGCCTCAGAAGCCTCTAAATAAGTGTTGGATGAATGACACAGTGGCAGTCATAAAGCTGTCATTTATTGCCCACTCACTGTGTGCCAGGCCTGTTGTAAAGCTTAAATACTTTCTTTTAATGCTCCTAACAACCCCATGAATAGGGTCATAAGGTGTCCTTTTCCAAAGGCAGGAAGCTGAGGCTTGGGAGAGATTAGTCTTTTCTAGGGTCTCCCTGCTAGGAGGCAATAGGGCCAAGACTCAAGCCTTGGCCTGCTTCATGCAAGTTCTGCTCCTTGTCGCTGTGCTTGGTGCATTTTGCCTGGCGGTGCCTTGCACCTCAGAACTTGATCAGCTGGTCTGTCCTTGGAATGAGAGGGAACAGAGTTGCTTGCAAATGTGTGGCTGCCCACTATGGGCCTCAAGGTGGTGCAGGGCCTGGCCTGGACACAGGGTTCCCACAGGGTAGGCTAGCTGCCCCCTGGCCAGCGTCTTCCAAGGTGGGAAATGGGCAGCTTGAGATCTGGTAAAAGAGCCCTGCAGGTGAAAGGAGACAGGTGTCATGAGTATCCTGTGCTGCTCCCTGCCTTGGCACTGCTGTGCTGCACCCCACTCTTCAAAGTGAAGCCCCTTCCATCTCTCCTGCACCCTACAACCCAGGAGGCTGGCTGTAGGGAGTTTACTAAAGCCTAATTGGCTGACCTGCTCTGGATGGTGGGGCCAAAGTCCTCAGTCAGGCTGCCCATCTTGGGCTGTGGACACTACTGCCCACTCTCAGTGGGTTAAAGGACCCACTCTCCCTTGGGTTAAAGGACCCACCTCCCCTACTCTCTAAATAATTATGTATAGAGGGTAGGTGGAGACAGGAAAGCTTCCAAGAAGAGGTGACAGCAGGGATCAGGGGTCCTAGGAAGCAGCTATTGGAGGTGACTTCCATTGGAGACCAAAATGCTAGTGGGCCCCGGTCCCTGACGCCAGCTGGAGAAAACCCCTGACTGCTTCCTAGGACGCAGTTACCCACTTTTCCTTAGCCAGATTCTCCTGGCTGTGGCTACAGAGATGACTGGAGCCCTGAGGCAGGTGTGCTAAGGGTGTTTCTGCCACTTCCAAGGTCAGAGCCACCTGAAGAATGATAACCCGGACACATCCTTGCTGAGAAACAAATGGGAGGGGACAGCAAGGCATTTAATAAGCTATCCTGCCATCCTGCATTTAATAAGCCATCAAGATGAGTGGCCTGGAGAGTCGAGGCACAGGGAACGCCTCACAGGAGGCAGAGGTGCTGAGCCCTTGGCTCCCACTGGCTGGGAGTCCCTGGGCTGTGTGCACCAAGGCCAAGGGGATGCCAGGAGATGAGCCCAGTGTAGGGGCACAATGGGAGCCAGAGGTCACTGCTGTCATCTCCTGCCATCACCCAGGAGCTACTGGCTGGTGCTTTCTCTTACAGAGAGCGTGCTGTGTCCCAGAAAGACTCAAGGAACACCATACAGACTCCACCTGTCAAGGACTCGCACTGAGCCAGTAGAGAGGGGTTACCTAATGCCATCCCAGAGCCATGAGAGAGGCACAAAGGGTTGTAGGGGGTGAGGGCCGAAGTGATTGGTTTCTCCGTACTCCAGTGTTCAGACCCTGATTGGTCGCTAGCTCTGACTGTCACCTGGCCTTTGATCTCCCCAGTGCCATCCACATGTGGCTGCAGGACCGGTCACATGTTCATTGAGAAGTATGTTACTGATGCTTAGTCAGGCTCAAGGGGTATATGCTGGCTAAGATCTGGGCCCTCTCCTCAGGAAACTTGTAGTCCCCAAGGAATGACAGACAAGCAGGTGCTGTCTGGAGGGTCCGAGGAGCTCAACTGGAGAAGAACAAGGCCCTTGGGCTAGGTTTATGGGAACGCTAAGCTCCCAGCTCCTCCTGGGTGCCATGCCAGGTCGTTTTGAGGTTTAAATGAAATAGCCAGGTGTGGTGGCTCATGCGTGTAATGCCAGCACCTCAGAAGCTGAGGCAG